CACCGTCGGCCGTCCACCAATGCGCTATTGATAAGATAGCCAGCAATGGACTGTACCGTGTGCGCTGCACCATTCGGATCAGGTGGGTAGTCGCAAGTCAGACCTTGGTTGACTAATTATCTGACGTCAGGAATCACCTCAATGGTACACACGGCGGCCTCGTTAGCGTGACGCCGGTGGCCGGCCGCGGCAGCAGGGGTTCAATAGGAACTCGGGGCTGGCGAAGGCAGTAGGGGTTCAATGCGACGCCGGTGCGTCAGGGTTGGCGAGAAGACGCAGAGGTATCCCGGGTTGACTATGAGACATCGGTGTCGCGGTGTTGGCCACGGACGCGGTGTGCATCAATGTTCATTCAAAATAAGACATAGGTTTTACAGCCTAGAACGTGCACAATGCTGATGCATGAATTAACTCCATAATGAGATCGCAGTCCAGCCCACATATATCTTAGCAGGTGCCGGCCGGTTATCGTCTGTTCCATATGGCTGCTGGGTTAGACTCTTCAGCCAATACGCTGCGGCGAAATAGCCTTTCCGCGGATATCTCTCAGCCTATCAGCGGGATCTGCAACAAGTGGTGGCCGGTTCTGCTCAATCCAATCCCATCGGCCGGCCACGTCTGAATTCTACATCCAATTCCAGCCCGGCCGCCCTCCTCAAGACCTTTCTTTAACCCTATTAGTGGCAGGCTCCTGGCTACCCCTATTAGTGGCAGGGGGGGCTGTTTACGACCCCCCTTGATATCTCGAGATCTAACGGGCCGATTTTCAAAATTCAAACGGCATTCGATTTCGCTCAACGTGATCTACATTTCTAAAAAATAAAAATTAAAAAATGTCAATGGGGGGGGAGAGGGGGGTAAAAACGGGCAAATTGCAGATACATTTTAGACTGTTTATCACGGTCAGGTTTCTGAACCAATCTTAACGCAACTTTTGCCGATCGATAGAGAATGAACCAGGAATTCACATGGATCCTAAAAATATGCATTTTCAAAAATCATAGGCGGATACAGATCATTGAGATTGGGGGTACACAAAAAGCATAGTAAATAAGGTTTTTGTTGGTACTGTTTCTAAAAAGGGTGGTATTGGTCTTGTTATGTTACAATTTTCTTATGAGAGAACGACTACAATTGTATTGGTCATGCATAGGCGGTGTCAGGGCACCTATGTTGGGAGGTAAAACATAACCCCCCTTTTTGGACGCCTGGATCCGCCTATTATAGCAAAAACGTGTCAAAAGAGGATGCACAATAACTGTATATGTTATCACATGATACCTTTCATTCACTGTTCGTAAAACTGGTGCAGCATCGTGATCTTCGCCCAAATGACTCGCTTCACGAATAGGACCCCCCAATTCCCAGTGCTCTGGAGCCGCCCCTGGTAAAGTTATGAACTTGAAATTTTCAGGAAATATGCCCAATTTAGTTTTAGGAAAAGTCAGAAAATTTCAGCATCGTAGCTTCAGCGGTTTCGGAGATATTCCCGAAAAAACCTGAGGGGTGGATAAAAACAACCCCCCCCCCCTGCCACTAATAGGGTTAATGAATGGTCTGGTCCCCGCCCATCTGCTCGGTCCAATGAGCCTGTCGTGCCTGACAACGCCCCCTTTCGCCCCCTGGGCCAATGGCTGGGGAATGGGGATACATGAGCAGAGTAGATGCGTATTACATACGGATCACAATGCTGGGCGAATGGGAAAATCCGTTCCTGGTACGCATTTACTTGCTCATGTATTCGGGGTCAATGGCACTGTCGTGCCTGACAACGCCTGCACCTGGGGCCGATGGAACAGCCCTGCCCTTGCCCCAGACCGTCCCCTGGGTCCAATGGCACGGTCCTGCCCTCGCCCCAGTATGTCCCCTGAGCCCAATGGCGCCGTCTAGCCACCACTCGCCACCCGAGTCCAATGGCAGTCTTATGCCGCCTCCGCCCACCCCTGAGTCCGATGAATAGCCCATGGGTGCCCGCCCTGCGTATCAGTCCTTGTTCCGGTGGTCGGTGTGCGCACCGCTCGATCGTCGGACGTCTGACCAGACCGGATCGGGACGGGACAGAGTTCGATCCGACGACCGCCGCCGCGGGCTCGGGAGGTGGTGTGACGACGCAACAGGGAGCTGACCGGGGCCGTAGAGGCACATAGGACTGACCGGGGCCGCATCGGCACAGAGGACTGGCCGGGGCCGCATCGGCGTATCGGTAGACCGGGAGTGGGTATATTGTGATTTGTGATCATGGAGATGCACGTTGCACCAGAGGTATGACGTAGCTCACGACAGTGTCCTGATTTTCGTGAATTTGGGTGGAAACCCACACCTAACAGATACTCTTTGTGACGTCCCGGAAAGCCAAACGACGTCCCTGACAGATAAAAGTCGATAGGTATATCGAACACCAAAAGCAAACTAACAAAAAGAAATATCACCTCTGTAGCCTAAAAACACGGCTATGCAAAATGACAATAAATATATCCTAAGTCCTCAAAAACTCACTCTTACACTCAACTCCCCTTTCCTGGCCAACTGCCGCAACAGTAAACAACGCGGTTTTATTTTATTTTTGTTTTCTGTGCGTCAGATATGGATAAGTTTTTTCCTTTACCATGTGAAGGTAATGCTGCCATATGAAGGAGAAAAGATGTCGGAATAGAGGGATCTGAGGACGTCGTTTTCCACTTTTCAGTTTTAGTAACTGTGCAGTGTATAGATAAAAATTAATCATGCGAATATATTACTTGGACATTTATCTATAAGCAAGCAACATACCTTTTGTATCAAATTACTGTAACATATTTAATTTTTTTCCCCTCAGAAGGTCACAGTAACGGGTTAGCGCTGCCCCTTGAACATGCCCTTTAAAAGTAGTTAATTTTGCATATGTTGATAGTGGTTGGGGAAAAAGTTTAATGTTTATCTGTTTGAATTAAAATAAGGCCACCGAATTTCAACAGTATTAATTCAAGTATGTCGTCCTTGGCTTAAAAATACACGCAATGTTGGGGACGTCGATTGACCTTGTTATTCCCATTTAATCGACGTCGGTACAAAACTGAAAAGTGCACAATGATTTCACATTTTTTCCAGCCAAGAAAAATTCAGCGTCCACCTTGGAGTTTTCTTAATTGAATTTCATAACAGGAAGCTATGGAGAATTAATTTTCCAAGCCGTTTTCCACCTCTTTGTTTGGACGTCTGTTTTTTTACATCAGTCCTCTTGCTCGATATGATATCCCTCTTATGACGTCAATATTTAGTGATAGCCGCTGGCTCTTGGGCTGATTTTTGTTGAAGCATATTTGTTGTTGACTGTTATGTACGATCATGGACAAGAACTAGACATCTTCAAAGTGTTGTTTTGGTGTTTGTGGTGAATGCTTGAATTTTGTATTTTACTAGGGGTAAACTAGCATTACTTTGTGTCTATATATGATCATTTGAGGTGCCTTGAGGTGGTATTAGTCAATATTGCCAGTGAAAATCGCTAATTTTAAGAGATTTAGGTAAGGGCTTCAGTGGCTTAGGCTCCGCACCGATATCGACGTCCTTTTGAAATAGCGAAGTCCTAGCAGCTTCAATCACACTCTCCGAAAAATCAATTTCAGGACACTGGCTCACGAGGGAAAACGCATAAATGAATAAAATGCGACGGCAAAAGGTCATGAAAATCACGGAATACTCATGAAAATCGCGGAGGGCCATGGAAATAGCAAATATTTACATCCATGGTATGATCATTGACATAGATATGCATTATGCAGCATTTGATGCTGTGCGGTGATAGTGATATGCCCAGCAACATCATAATCGTAAACAAATACTAGGAAGAAGTTAGATCATTCCGTAACAGTGCACGTATACTCGTAATTTATCAATTACTATTATAGTCGTTGTAGCGACATCCTCGCTGAAGATAGTGGCTATCCAGAATGTAATTGAACAATCATAATAGTGCGCAATGCACAATGGACCGGAAAGTTTGTCTGTTAAAGCGACAAGCGTGTACATTTAATAACTAATGTAGTCCCAACTTTCTTATATTCACTTATATCGTAATCCGTAATGGATAAATTTAGCTTGGGATAAACTTTGTTTAGGTCGTTACTTGCCCTATTCAATTTCGTAGCTAAAAACTTAGCTATACTCGGGTACAATATGAAGCTCAAAAATGCCTCATCACGCGGAGTCTTATGCCGGCTCTCATCTTAACAAGCCTCCTCGGTCCCAACTCTCCTGTTTCAAGTTGCCCCTCACTACTATATCGGACTAATCTTATTGGCAAAAAGTGCAGACTAAATAATTCAATTTAATTTAAACCGTGGCTGCCAAAATAACATGGTACACCTCGCTCTCTCTTTCGTTCTCTGCAACTGTCACAATAGCCCCGTTTCCGCAATTGGGAACGCTGCTCCGCCTCCTGCCTCTCTTACTTTCTCTTTTGCAGGGCACCTTCATCCCACGGGCGACATTCAATCCCATCTCGTAGATGGACGGACGGAGGCGGGCGGCACTCAGGGCACCGTCCATTCGTCTCCTGTCCTATCCTTTTCTCTCTCCTTCCCCGCCCGTGTGCCGGTCCGCTCTCTCCTCTATCCCTCCCGTCTCTCTGTGTATCGGTCTGCTCTCTCCTCTCCCTTCTCTCTCTGTTAGTCAGTCTGCTCTCTCCTCTCCTCTTTCCTCTCTCGTCTCTCCTCTTCCGCCTCTCTGTCGGTCCACTCTCTCCTTCCTCTGTGTGTCGGTTTCCTCTCCCCTCCCACTTCTCTCTGTGTGTTGGTCTGCGCGGCCGCCGGCCGCAGGTATGTTCTCTCAGTCCGAGCCGGACGCCCGGTATCGACCCCACAGGCCGCCGGCGGTGGCACACACTGAGCTCCACAGCTCAGCCGGGCTTGGACAGTTGGTGCACTCTGCCGGCGGGCACAGAGCTGCCACAGCTCAGCCCGGACGGTAATTCCAGCAGCACCGGCGGAGTCTGAGCGCGACTCGGTACCCAGGGGACTCACCTGTCTCTGCAGGACTGCCTCCCTGGCCAACTCCAACGCCCGCTCCACCTCCGCCCGAGTCTGGCTGTCCTCAATGTTGGACACCTCGGAGAGACTCAGCTCGGCGAACAGACGTACCGGCATGTCGCCCGGGTATACCTGTAAATAGATATACGGTCAGTGGAGTACGTTTGGAAATGGAATATAGTTACCAAATACCAGAGTACGCCTGTACAATTGACTTGACATTACATAAGAATTAAGAAGCCCACATAGCGAATTGAAAGCAATGAATTGCTTATACTAATAGCAAGGGAAAATAGCAGTAGCTATGGGCATGCTTCAGGAAAAGAGTGCCATTTTAATTCCTTGTCATAAGGCATTGAGGCTCTCCTAGCATCATCAGGAAAGGGTCTCGTTTTCATCAGCACAGAAAGAGGTCACCATGAAGCTATGCACGATGATCCAGAAATGACAATATTCTCTCGTAGTGCTTTGCAACCATGCGATTTTTGAAAACTTGTTTGCCGCTATATGTAATATTGTGCCTTACAAGAAGCAGAATCACTTTCAAAGTAGTTTAAGCAAAAAAAAAAAAGAATATATCATTCGTACGTATAAAGTTGCACGACATTTGTTGCTCTTTTTAATGCCAGAAAAAAGCACAGTTTAGTGCAACAACTATCAGCCTCAGCGAAAGTTTGAGACATTTTTTACCATTTAAAAATCTCGCTATTTCCTAGCGGGAACGATGTAAATGCTAATAGAAGCAATAAAAACGCCATTCAGCTAACATTTATAGTATTTTCATAGAAATGTGGAAAAGCAACTAGCAAAATATTCAATGAAGCTAATAAATGAGTAATTTTCTAAAGGAATTCGAAATTGTCCAAATACTTCAACATGCCTGTATCGTTGTGTGCTGAGCACATCGCCCGACAGCTGCTGTGCGTCACTCTAAACAAGTGTCACCGTGCCCCGTGCCACCACCCCATGGCCTGTGCCCATGTCCGTGTTCTGACGGACACATGACGTCCGACGGAAACAAAAAGATGGACACGGATACTCATCAAAGTGTGCGTGCCCATCTTATATGTCGTATCCGTGACCCGTGTCCCTAACGCGGTGTGTCCTAACCCAGCACAACCTAATCCATGCCCCGAGCTCCCCATGTGCTCCATTTCACCCTGCGGGCACTGCTGACCTGTAGGACGCGCATCAGGCCGTGGTCAGCCATCAGAGAGGCCAGCTCCAGGCCCGCCGAGGGCACCACCTCTCCCTGGACGGTGGCAGACGCCGACAGGGAGCGCTTGTAGCGCCGCCACCGGCTGGTAGCGCCATCTAGCCACAGCGCCGGCCGCGGCATGGCCCAGCGGTGTCTGTACCCGACCGCGGGAGGTCAGCACAGGACACCGGCCGGCCACCGCAGCCCGCCGGCGGCTGAAAGGGCGGAGGGTCGGTCAGGAACGCGGCGCCACCGAGCAGCGCGCACGGCACGTGTGAGTCAGGAAATCAATATCAGCGGTACCAGCGACCAGGGCAGTGACCTGTTGCATACAAGCCAACTAATGAGCAGAAAAGACATGACAAATGGGTACAGACGGTCGTTAGCCGCCGCTTAGGGTACAATTGGGGTACAAGCGGATTGACGACAGAATGATGGAGAATATGTTATTCGTCCGTTAATCCTGAATTAAAAATCAGCTGGTCTGGTATGCTATATGATCTATTGCAAAATACATGGCATGCTATTATACGCAAACTAACATAAGTAAGTATTGACTATCGTTCAGCTTTTCATCATGCCCAGTCACCTCCCTATGCAAGGTATTTCGATTAGCTCCCACCGCCCTTAAAGCGTTGCTAGGCAACGAAAGTCCCTGTCGGTTGTCATAGCAACGAGGACGCTAACAACGCGCATAGATATCAGTGATTGTGGATCACGATGGATCACGATTGCGCTTCTCTGTCTGATTTAATCACTCAGGGGTAATACCATTGAAAACTGTGCAAAAATAGCGAGCTGAAATCGATGATTCGTTTTCGCGTGTGACCTAGAATCAGTGTTTCGGGAGTCATCACCAAACAACGCCACGGGACAGGACTAGCTTCCGAGATATCAAGAGAAGTCGGTAAGCGGATTATACGCTGTTGGCAAAAGGCCCGAGGAGCGATTCTCATGTTGTGTACTGTGAACTAACAACATGGCGATATTTATAAATAACTACACTTGGCAACAGAGTAACAAGAAAGTTACTATCGATGTTCCTTTTACAACGACTTCAAAAGACAAGATGAGCATAATATGCACATCGAACTATCTGAAAGTATCAAAGCCACCATATATTTTCGAAGCCGTTCTAGCTCAACCGGTTGAACATGATGCAACGGTCGTTAAGCTGACTGATGAAGGCATCAATATCGAGCTGGTGAAGCTCACAGAAAAGCGGTGGAGTGATCTTCGTCAAAACTTGACAAAAGAAGAACTGGTCGTGGAACGCGAGAAGGCGTTAGAATTCGTAGCACGATTGGAAGCAGAGGCTGCTGAAAAACGTGGTGAAGAGCGACTCAACCGTGAACGTCTTAGCGTCAAAGAGCAGATGCGGGTGGATGAGGCTGGTCGCAAATCCCGCGAGGCAGCGCAGCAGCAGGAGAAGAACAGAGCACTGGCCGAGGTATTCCGCGTGACCTCTCCGCCGCGCCGCCGCCGTCGGCCGAGCGAGGTGACCGTGTTCAGCGTCAGCGAGCTCACAGAGTCAGAGGAGAACTGCGGCCAGGACACAGAACTGGGCCTGCCCGAGGAGCAGACCCTGCGCGAACAAGAGCCTGTCACTGTCAGCAGCTCGGCCTGTTCGACACCATCCAAGGGTGCGGCAGCGGTGTCCGCCGTGCACGCCGCTCGCTCAGCCACGCCGGCGGCGGCGGCGCCGGTCCGCACGGCCGGCACCATCCGCTGCGCATTCACACCGCGTCAGTTCCCGTCGGCGGCACGCGAGAGTCGCTCAGAGGAGGAGCAAGAGTGGCTGAGGAAACAGGCCGACAAGTATCGGCGCGACGGAGCCCTGGACGAGGCCGACCTCCGGCCGCACGAGAAGGACCCACGCTGGCTCAAAGAGCGTGGCGACGCCTTCTACCAGCACGGAAACTACCTGGCTGCCATCAACGCCTACAGCCATGCCATCCACGCGGCGTCCAACGCTCCAGAGCTGTACTCGAACCGAGCCGCCTGCCACCTGCGGCTCAACAACTTCCACAAGACTCTGGAGGACTCGTCGTCGGCACTAGACCTGCTCACGCCGGCCGTTGAGGCGAACCGGGTGTCGCGACTACGGTGTCACGTGAGGCGTGGTACGGCGCTCCTGCGGCTCGGCGCCTGCTCTGAGGCTCTGGCTGAGTACGAAATGGCGCTCAGCCTCGACCCCAATAATGAGAAGTTGGTGCAGGACGTGAAAACGGTGCGCCGGCTGGCGGAGGGCTACGACAGCGATCCCGACGAGCTATCTGCGCTGGATTAGAGAGCTCTTAAACTCGTGTTGACTTGTGCTTCGTCCAGACTCAAGTTTGTTTAAGTGTGAACATTCATTGAATCCCATGGACTGGGCCTGCCTTCAGTTGTTTTTGTCAGGCCCAGAATATTTAATGGTGATGCAATGTGTCTCATTTAAAACTGATCACAAGAGCAAGCCAGCAATAAAATACAAAAGCACATCTATCCAAAAGCTTTGCCTACCTAAATCGATTAGGAGTAATGTTCTACCCTAGTGTGATTATGGGTGCTTGGTTCACACAGTGTGACCAAATTGGTTTAGCGTTAGGGGGAGGATGTATAAAAAAGGTCGTACGAGGATGTCACTATTTTCAAAAACCTCGTCTTCAGCCTCATTTTAGGTGCAGTTTTTACAGATAATGTGGAAAAAAACTATACCTGACGTCAAGTTCTGGTGGAAAGTTAAAAAACAAATATTGTAATTAGAGATGTAAAAAACGACATTGCAAGCGCGACAGTACGAGTATGACGGTGCGAATCGTACATTGGAACATTTTCAGTCTTTATTCCTACACTAGGTAGGCATGCTTTCACGACAAAAACGTCGTGATGATGTAGGGTAGCTGTGGGGAAAACGCACCCCCCTGGGTTAAACGCCTCCCCTAAAAAAATCGTATTTCTTATCGACGGATAGGTGTTTTATACTGTCTTTCAGAACAGTCAGCTGCTTGTTAACGTAGGTCTCTATTTCCGGTTCTGCGTCTTGAGGAGCAGCGTGGGTAGGTGCTGATGTTGGTTTTGGGTGTTGTTTTTGTTGTTTTTACAGAAGATTCCTAACATTTTGATGCCCTCTTTATATCACAAAACTTGCTATTGTGCACATCACTAAAAACTGCGTTTTATTGTCATTCTGTTGAATTTATTATGCTGCGGCGTTAGTGGCGCGTTTTTTGTCAATATTCTGTTGACCGGAAATGGAGCGGATGGGGAAAGACGCCTACTCGATGCATGGGGCAAGACGCCCCCAGTTTTCTGAAAGGGGGGCGTTTTGCACGGTGGTGAGAGTGCAGGGTAGCGCCTTGTAGGTGGGCGCCGAAAAGGCCTCTCCGTGTCCTTTTTTGCTGATATATCCTAAACGACCGCAGGTATCGTCACCAAACTTTCAGGACTCCTCCGGGCATCCATTTTACACATTGCAACAAAATTTTATTCCAAAGGCTATGATAGGTTGACCACAAATGACGTCAGAATGACGTCAAGTTCTGCCATGTTCATCATGTTCTGTTGCTGGATGGGGTGGGGGCGCTTTGCACATGGGTGTGGGCGTATTACCCAGGGTATGGGGCAAAACGCCCTTTTGTAAGGGTATGCGAAAACCTTTTTGGAGAGTTAAATACCACACGCAGGTGTCTTTTCTTGGTCTCAAAGCGTAGTAAAAAGAATGAGCTACATGATGGTGCCCAAAGGTTTGAGTAATCTGTGTTGGGTTGAGTGTCAGAAGGTTTCGCGCTTAATGGGGGCGTTTTTGACCTATTCTCCCTAATTTTAAAATTTCTGAGGATGTCATTATACTTTTCATTGGGGGTGACTTTCCCCGCAACATCACCAATTTGGCCACACTGGGTTCACATACAGCATATTTGGTAAAAACTAATGTGACTGCTTCTCCAAACTAGCTGGTGAACACTGAACAATCAGCTTACATGAGGACTGTCTGCAAGGACAATTGCTGGCAAGTGGCAATTATGGTAGGGTAGGTACTAGGTAGTTGTCATCCCAAATCACAATGCACCTGTATAGATAGATAGATAGATAGATAGATAGATTTGTATTTCAGACTAACAGTCCATTGCTATGAGTTGATGATGGATGTACCAGATGGATGATGGATGAACAACAAACATCGATTAAGGCACACTCCCAGTCGATGCACATTCAATGTAGCACAGCATGACAATAGAGCTTACTGAGCCAAAAGCGTCTCAGTTTTGATCTGAAACGGAGATCCCCTGAATTGATTGCTTCAATGATGCTATTGGGGCTTTGTTCAAGTCTTCTCAGAAACTTATAAATAAGTTTCCTGAACACGCTTTCACAATTCAGCACTCTAAAATATGCACATGTCATACTCGTACTCTCAAATTTCGATAACCCGATAAGTCGTTTAAGAAGGTTGTGATAGCTCACAATGAGTCGATTCATAGTTGCCTTCCTATAGTTCCACCACAGGTGTGCACAGTACATCGATGAACAGTAAGTCTCAAATAGTTTCAGTTTGACATCTACAGTACACATACAGTACACATTTGACATCTACAGTACACTTAACAAAGTAAAGTGTAGATGCAATTTAAATAAACTGATCATAAAGAGAGTAGGTAGGTAGGCACCTAATCAGTTGGTAGGCACCTAATCAGTCTGGGTTGTCAGAGTGGCAGTGCCATGCCACCATGTTTCGTTTGTGTATCTGGGCTCTGAAAACTGAAAAGGGTTTATCAGGTAGGTAACAGCTAAATCAAAATAATGGTTTGAGTTCTCTGAACAATGAACCATCAATCAAGGCTTAAACACAAACAAGAGCACATATGATTTATGAACATCAAACCTAAGCTTGAAACCACTTCAGACTCTGAGGAACAGGAATGACTGTGACTGTTGAAGAATGACTGCATGATTGATCCTCATCCAAGATATGAATATGGATGAGAATCCATGCTTTGGGTCATCATCATGGACTCCTTATCATGTTGACAATGGCTATGACAACAAAAGTCGCATAAAAGTCAAATATGCGGAATACCTATAAACGTATTACAGCCATAGAACATGTGCCTAGCTGAGAGTAGGGAATTTTTATGCCTATAATAGCACTTAATTAACTTACCAGTACCACAGATCCTCAGAATAAGACCAGGCAGAGGTAAAAATCCTGTACTGCTCCAATCCAAGACAATCTCCATGGAAATTTAAATTGCAGCAGGCAAATCACGTTGAAGAAAATGCTTTTCGAGACCAACACCAAAGGTCTCAAGGCTGACAATCTAGCATGAGATCTTTTATTTCAAAGAAGGCCATGGTTTTTAAATGCTAAAACCAATGCCAACTTAATTTTTACAGCAAAAATAAGATGCCCTGCCCGCCATCCAAGGCTGTATAAACCAGGTAGAACGCTCCGGGAAAAAAGTTGGAAACAATAAATTAGTTGCGGCATTCCCTGATGACGCGAATGTGGGTCAGCGGCCGGCGGCCGGCGGCCGCTAACACTGTATGAGGATGGATGAACGAAACTTTTGCTTGTTGGAGATTGCGCTAGGCAGTTAAATGTTAATGTTAGGATATGTTTCGAAAGTAAATTGAACGACGCTTCGAACGCCGTCAATGAATTTGCGATACGACTATTTGTTTAGTTAGAGCCGGCGAACTTTTACCTTCCGACCGCGCGGGGGAGGCGATATGGTGCCACACTGACGGTTTTTACGACAGCTCAAAATTCTTTTGAGCTAAAGAGCTGAAATTTGACATGTCCAATCTTTTGATCAAGCTGGATCTTCTGGTACAAGTCGCATATTTAAGGTACGTCAGGTTGTTGACCTATGTTGTCGCTCGTGAGCCTCTACACAGTCCAAAAACAACGCAATTTCTGAACACTCAGTGCCAAGAAATCCTTCACAGAAAGATAACACTTGGCACTTGGCAGAAAGAATGGCTGTCGGTTTCTTATACCGTTGACCGTTCGTATGTGTCGTGTTTTCACAAGAATTTAGTAAGGTCAGGTCCCTCACGTCACCTCCCCTCATAACTCAATAGGACTAGGTTTACTATCATAGAAGCTTTTATCAATCGCCGGAAATCTTAGCCAATACCACTGGACAGTGGACACTGGATCCATACCCACAGGCCACATGGGGCCCTCCTGACTGGCCACTCCCTCTGAAATCCACAATTACATTGGGCTGCGGCCATGGTTATGTATTAATGCTTTTCACTAACAGAAATACAACAACTTCAACCAGCACAATGCACGCCGCCACAACAGTCCGACCAACGTCCCTGATATCGACTAGCACTCGGCCGGATGCACATATGCGGAGCCAATCAGTCCGATGTGACCTGCAGCTTACAATTGCTGTTGTAAGCTGAATTACAGCTTACAATAGGTAGCACCAATGTCCATAACAAAAGCTTGCAAAGTAATTTTATGAAGCCAAGGGAAATATGCCTAGGGGAAAGTGGGGTAAGACGGTCAGGGTAGGTAAGACGGGCACCCCTTCTGCAGACCAAACCAATAGCGCTACGAGCGAGAAAAATTAGGACCAGAATTGCCTTTCCCACTACACACCACCATTGAAGTCTGGTGAATTTGTGTTCAGTCGATAATCTTTTATTTTGATTTCTATAAAACACTCATTTCATTGAAAACATTTATAATGTATTGGGCAAGCTTTTATATGAAGCACTATAGAGTTAAAAACTCGCTATCACTTGTGGTACACTCATATGCCACCAGTGTCCATTTACTGCGGATTTGCTTTGTCTGCATCAAATTGTCCACGGAGAAAAATCGTGCTGAACTTCTGACATTGAGTTTGGGGTAAGACGGGCAACTAGTATGAATCCAATGGGTCTGTAATGGTGAAAATATTTTTGTTGCTGTAGGAAGAATAGAAGCATTTCTAATAAGAATATGTTCGATTCCGATACTCACAGACATGTTAGCAATATTCCTTCGGCACAGTTTATTCTCGAATAATGAATGTGAAAACGGTTCTACATGGCTTCTGAACTACGGCCTAGTTATATACGAGCATACGCCATCTGCACGAATCTCGTATACTGCCATTTCCGAAGCACTTGAGACCAACGAGCGACTGTATCAATGCGGCTAATCTCGGACATTTGTTGCGAGCTGTGCTGGTCGGTGAAAGAAGCTGGCCGTCTTGCCCTACCCATGTGACCGTCTTACCCCATGGGGTGGGGTAAGACGGGTTTTTGCAAGGTTTTGCAAAAATAGCTGCAGATTATTTGTTGAATCAGGCCTAAGTCTCACCTTCTGGCAAATGGAAGTAAAATGTCTACAAAAGGTTTTCACCAAGTTTCCCGTTTCTATGATGTTTCTAACCGGCCGAAAAATGGCTCCAAAGTTAAGGTGCCCGTCTTACCCCACTTTCCCCTACATCATGCATGTGAACTCAAAATTACATATGCATGACAAAGGAAGCTTATGTAAAGAGAAGTGTTGGCAAAAGCATTTCATAGTTAAAATTATTCAAAACTACACACAGGGCAAACATAAAAAGCAGCAAGTGTGCTGTTCTGTTATGCTAAGAAATAGTCCAAAACAAAATACATCTTTTCATGTTTGAACTGGTTGTTCTTCCATGCCACTTCATCCATATCTTGATTACAGATGGGCTGTTGCTGTAGGCTGATGAAGTGACACTTGATTGCCTTTGTGCGAGTTTCAGTTGCAGCCTCCTAGGTACTGCACTGGAAAGCAGATTGAATTTAATGCCTCTGAAAGATAGGAATACAGGCAAAGTTAGCTGTAGTAGTGTCAATGATAATAGACATGACATTTTTGTCCTTTGACATACATTTGTTGAAGTACAAAAAGTAAAAAATAAATTGGTTTGTTTCAAGACACGCACACTGCACACAGCCGCACAAACATTACACAGGCATATGAAATTGGTACACATAAAACTTGATGATTAAAAAGGTCAAAACTTGTAATGATAATTGAAGTAAAAGTTACAATCACAATCATTTGATTTAAAATGACTTGACATAAGTCACAAGACGCAACGCTCCTATTCTTTTATGCTTTCATTATCCTTCACATATCAACCAGCTTGATACCAGGCTGTGCAATAGTGTGTACATAACCCCATGTTACCATTTTATTAGAGCAAGTGGGGTTACAACAACAATGCTAATGTCAAACCCACATCTGCAACCGTACTGCAGTTTCAATCACCTTTCAAGCACACCTTCTGGCAATTTGATAGGCAGAATGGTCATTACTACTTTCCCCTTATATTCAACACATATTCCCTTTATACAGATACAGTTTAGACCTGGTTATGGCAAGCATTTTCGAGAAAAGATATGATTAAAGTCCAAGACAAAGGTCGAGAGAAACAACACCAACATAAAACACCGACTATGTAGCTCTAATACTGTCAAATTCATAAAAACATATACATGAGTCGATCAGAAATTCATTGTAGATTTCGAAAATGGTGTCAAATGCCACTCAAATACCCCCATTCGCATGTACGAAGCAATAAAACACCGACCTTCAATTCCGCGTGCCATTCTCCATAGGCCACTGTGTATTAAATAACGCGTTCACTGATAGCAAAAAATGAGACCCACATATGACGCGTTTACTACCAGCCAATCAGCGCTCGAGTTGCCGAACGCTGATTGGTGGAGAGGGCCGTCGTCAGCAGTTAATTACACGTTGTTTTCCTTGAACATGTGCGTGAGCGCTGATGCTGCTCACGGGCTGTTTCCATTTTTCGTAATGCTGAAGGCACGGGAGCGAACCCCCCTGCCGCCATCCTTCAGACAGATTCACAGCATAGCTTCAGCATGTGGAGTGACGTGTTCTAAATTCTCAAGCTACGCCTAGTTGCAGATATGCAGGAACTGAAGAACTTTGTCAAAACTAGTTAGAACTTCACTTGACGCGATTAGAATACTATTGATAGCTTTAGGTATGGCTTGGTGAAAGCATTTACCATTTCAAAAAGGTAAAAATCAATTAATTTGAGTGCCCTAGACTTTCTGCTTGCCGCAAACCCAAGGATTTCTGCTACGAATGAACACTAGTCGATCAGCTGTTTGCGTCATGAACGTCTCATTTGCGCTATTTGAACTGAACAGTACTAAATTAAAAACTCAGGCTTCTCACTTCATTTCAAGACCCTATCTCTCATTACTGCAAGTAAAAAAAAGCTGCAGTTAAAGGGACCCTCCCACCTTAACATTAGATTTGAGCTGAGATAGCCAAAATGGGGTCCCTGGCTCACAATTACCGGTTTCGGCACTCACAACATCGAGAAATGCCTTAAATCGGAAATATTGAATTTCAAAATTGCAGCATTTTGATTCAGAGGGGCTAATGCATAGGAATACCCCTCTGAATGTGTGACGTCAGCGCAGATATCTAACGATTTTTAAATGTTTGACTAAAACGTTTTGTAGCCCGCGGTGGTATATGCTGCTTTGCGCGCAACAAATGCCGCACTTTCAAATAAAGTCGCTGGGAACAGCGGAGATCCCAAAAAGTAAACAAAATCAAAAGTCTAATATCTTGAAAACCGGTGAATATTTTTCGATGAAATTTGGTAGATATTCGTTTTTGCTCTTTCTGAACCGAGCGACATCACTTTTATGCCAATGCATTAACTTTTTTGAAGGTGGGAGGGGAGGGTCCCTTTAAGTATCTATATAAAACGTAGAACAGAGGTTTGGAATCAGTAACATCCCAAGAGGGATAATTGTGAAGGAATTCATAGGCATTTCCGTCATCTCACACATTGGCCAAACCAAAGCCCAAAACTGGCTGCACTTCGCTCCTCGGCGGGAGACGTACTCGACCAACGTCCCACACCTCGCCAGCACATTATGAGCATATCTTCCCACATGAATGTTCATTGCTTCATGAATACATATATTGATCAAGCTTGAAAAGGTGCCCGTAGATACGGTTACGGTTCCAACTTCCAATCATGGCCCGAGCTACCGGCAGCCCAGATCAGAGACAAATGCAAATGCTGAAGGTAGTAGAGCTCAGAATTCGGTTCGGACTCCGGATACCGGTCATCAATCATTTCAGTCAACGTGAGAACTTGAGCTGAAGGACACAACAGTTGTTACGTCAGGGGCGGTCGCAGACTTGGAGTTTGGGGGGGGGGCCAACTTGGCAAAGGGGCCCCTGCGCTGACCCGGGGGGCCCGGTGCTAGCTTAAAGGGGCCCACGGGCGTAGTGCACGGGTGCAGAAATCCAGGCAATGGCCGGTGAAGCGGGGGGGGGGGGGGGGGGGGGTAGGGAGCGGCACCCGAGCGGAGGCTCAATGCGAGCTTTGAGGGTGTACCATGTCGAAAAGGTACCGATAAGTGCATTTTGAAGCATTGATATTGTCAATAATTCACGCAACTGTGAATGGATTACCGCAAAAGTAAAGGCGGCTTAGGCGGCTAACTTTGCCATTTTCTAAGATCATCGTGCTAAAACTTTTGACAGTGGGTCATCGGTATCTGTTCACTGTTCAATCACATGTGTTCCGTTTCATCTTTTTTTTTTACTTGGGCACAAATGTAAGTTTTGAAGATCATAACAGTAGCAAATGCTTCGAAAGATGGATAGTGGGCAAAATATCCTAAATTTGTCGTGCTGCATGGAAAGTAGTGTTGCTGAGAACAGGGGGTTTTGTTCCAGATTGTTGTGGATGCAGAATACATTGTCTGCACTCACTGGTTGGTGCAACTGCGCCCTTTGCACCCATGGTTCCTACACTTATGGGCCTATAGCGCTTCGGCGATACCTATCGCCTAGAGGCTGCAATGGGGCCCTTAGAGTACGGTGTCAGACCCCCCAGAGGCAGGCGTTGGACCCAAGGGTCAGCGAAGGGCCTCAAAGGCCCAGGTAGGGCCCTAGAGGCTGATGTGAGCCTTGAGAGGCAAGTGCATGACCCCCGAAGGTAAGGCATGAGACCCCCAGAGAACATAAAAGGGCCATCATTGGCCGGTGTAGAGACCTCATAGGCCAGTTTGGGGCCCCTCAGAGGCTAGTGTTGTGCCTCAGGTGTTGGTATGAGGCACTTAAAGACCGTAATGGGTCTTCAGAAGCCGGCATCGATCCTTTAGAAGCCAGTACGGGGCCCTCAGAGGCACATAAGGGTCAGTTTGGGTCCCAGAGACAGAAATGGGACCATCAGAGGCCGATGTGGGACTTTTAAAGGCTGGTTTGGGCCCTTAGGGGCCAGCACAGGGCCTGCAAAGGGCAGTTTGAGACCATCAGAGACCGAATTGGGCACTCAGAGGCCAATGTGGGCCCTTACAGGCCAGCATGGAGCCCACAGAGGTTAGCGTGGGGGCCCTAAAAGACCGACATGAGCCGGCGTTGGACCCAGAGGCCAGTAGAGGGCCCTCAAAGGCCAAGATGGGCTCTCAGAGGCCGATGCGGGCCCTTAGAGGCCGGCATCGGGTCTTCAGAAGCTCGTGCGGGGCCCTCAGAGGCTAAGGTGGGTCCGTACAGGCCAGCACGGGCCCTCAGAGGTCAGTGTGGGGCCCTAGAAGACCGGCATAGGCCGGCGTTGGACCCCAGACAGAAGGCCCTCATAGGCCACGATGGGCCCTCAGAAGCCGATGCTGACCCTTAGAGGCCGGCATCGGGTCTTCAGAATTCAGTGCGGGGGAGGGCCCTCAGAGGCTAATGTGGGCCCTTGCAGGCCAGCATGGGGCCCTCAGAGGTCAGAATGGGACCCTAAAAGACTGGCATTGGCCGGCGTTGGACCCCAGAGGCCAGTAGAGGGCCCTCGAAGGTCAAGATGGGCCCTCAGAAGCCGATGCGGGCCCTTAGAGGCCGGCACCGGGTCTTCAGAATTCAGTGCGGGGCCCATAGAGACTAATGTGTGTCCTTACAGGCCAGCATGGGGCCCTCAGAGGTCAGTGTGGGGCCCTAAAAGACCGGCATGGGCCGGCATTGGACCCCAGAGGCCGGCGGAGGGCCCTCAAAGGCCAAGGTGGGCCCTCAAAGGCCAAGATGGGCCCTCAGACGCCGATGCGGGTCGGCCGGCATTGGGTCTTCAGAATCCAGTGCGGGGGCCCTCAGAGGCTAATGTGGGTCCTTACAGGCCAGCATGGGCCCTTAGAGGTCAGTTTGGGGCCCTAAAAGGCCGGCATGGGCCGGCATTGGAACCCAGAAACCAGCGGAGGGCCCTCAAAGGCCAAGATGGGCCCCAGAGGCCGATGCGGGCTCTTAGAGGCCGACATCGGGTCTTCAGAATCCAGCGCAGGGTCCTCAGAGACAATTATTAAAGGCTGGTCTTGGGACTCGAGAGACAGAAATGAGGCCACCAGATGCCGGTGAGAGACTCTCAGACGCCGGTTGGGCCCCTAAGGCCGGTTTAGGGGCCCTCAAAGGCCAGTGGAGGGCCCTCAGAGGTCAATGTGGGTCCTCAGCGGTCAATGTGGACGCATGACCGCCACTGAAGGGCCCTCAGAGGTCCGTGTAGGACCCTCAAAGACTGGTATGAGAGCTGTTAATAGCTTGTGTGGGTTTCTCGAGCCTCGTGACAATCGAATACGGGCCAGGGCCCCATACGGCCATGGGGGCCCATCGGTTGTTTGGGGGGGGGGGCCAAATGATATGATGGCCCCCCTGATTTGCCTTTGGGGGGGGCCATGGCCCTGATGGCCCCCCCCCCCTGCGACCGCCACTGTGTTACGTGATTGATTCAGGTGCAAACATGAAACACACGCCTGGAATGGCCAATAATTGTCAAAAACGCCGACGGCTCCCGACTAAAAATACTTAGTATCAAGGGCGCACACAAGGGGGGGGGGCACACGGGCCCGTGCCCCCCCCCCCCCATTCGAGTTGGGGGGCCCAACTCGAAGGAAGGGGCCCATTTGAGGCGGCCGAAGGCCGCCTCAAATGGGCCTCTAACTAATCCTTAGACCACCGAAGACCGTGTACAAAGGGCCCTCAAATGGCCTTAAAGGGCCCTCAGATGGTCTCAAAAGGCCCTCAGATGGCCTCGAAGGGCCCTCAGTTAGCGTCATGGGGCCCTCATCTGGTGTCCAAGGGCCCTCAGATGGCCTCAAGGAGCCCTCAGATGACCTCAAAGGACTCTCAGATGGCCTTAAAGGGCCCTCAGATAGCCTCAAAGGGCCCTCAGCTAACGCCAAACGGACGTCAGAAGGCCTTAAAGAGTGTCAACGGTCCCTGAGCTGGCGTCAGAGGGCCATGCCCTTGCGTCAAACGGCTCTCCGAAGGCTCTAAAGGATCCTTAGCTGGTGACAGAGGGCCCCCAGCTGGTGCCAGATGGCCCCCAGCTGGCGCCAAATGGCCATCAGAAGGCCTCAAACGGTCCTCAGCTGGCGTCAAGCGTCCCTCAAAAAGCCTCAAGGGGCCCTTAGAAAGCCTCAAGGGGCCCTTAGAAGACCTCAAGGGGCCCTCAGAAGGCCTTAAAGAGCGTCAAAGGGCCTTGAGCTAGCGTCAGAGGGCCCCCAGCTAATGTCAGAGGGCTCTGAGCTAGCGTCAAACTTAAAGTGCCCTTAGCTGGTGTCAGAGGGCCCCAGTTGGTGTCAGAGGGTCATCCATTGGCGTCTAATGGCCATCAGAAGGCCCAAAAACGATCCTCAGCTGGCGTCCAACGGTCCTCAGCTGACGTCAAGAGGCCCTCAAAAGGCCTCAAAGGCCCCTCGACTGCTCAAAGGGCCCTTAGAAGGCCTCAATGGGAACTCAAGAGACGTTAAACGGCCCTCAAAAGGCTTGAAAGGGCCCTCTGCTGATGGCAAAGGGCTCGCACCTGAGTCAATAAGAGCCTTGTCAAAAAAAAACGGACCTGAGAAACCTTGCCGGCCCTGGTTATCTGCGGGACTCCTACACTTACTGAGGGGCCCTGGTTATTGATGGGGTCCCTGGTTACTTAAGGGGCGCCTGATTACCAGAGGGGCCCCTGGTCACCTGGTGGGCCCCTGATCAATTGAAAACCCCTGGTCATCTGAAACGCCCCTGATTACCTAAAGGGTCCCTGATCACTTGGATTCAGTGGCATAGCAAGGGAGCGAAGGGTACGTGCCCGTTCTCGGGTTTAGGGTTCCTTCGAAACCGAGGGGCCCTGCGGCGCCAGTTGGTAGCAGAGGGCTCGCGCTGGCCGCACTTCAACTCGGAAGGACACCACAGGGCTTGTGGGGGGACGTTATTGGCTCCTATGTAGCCACCATTATCTTCATAAAGGCCCAATGCCGGTTTCTGAGAGACCTCGCCGGCCGCTCAGGGCCCTAGTAACGGCCAACGAGGGATTGGCTGCTATGGCTCCACATCCGTCTGTGATAGACACACGGTCCACACCAGTGTTTCTAAAGGCACCCACAACGGCAAATGCGAGGCCCCTCGCCCCACCTCCAAGGGACCCCCACCAGCGCATCTTAAGGGCCTACATCGGCGGCTCTGAGAGTCCCCACACCGACGCCTCTGAGGGCCACGTACCAGTGACTCTGAGGGCCTCTTACCAGCATCCGAGTGTCCTTGCCAGCCTATGACGGGCCACTTTCCACTTGCAGGCCGTTTTGCAGGGCCACACAATGCCAATGATGGCCCCACCAGTGTCTCTAAGCCCTAAGACCCCGCACCGCAACGGCGCCTGTGAGGACCCAACACCAGCGCATCTGACGGCCTTTCACTGGCACCTCTGAGCGCGCCACACACCGGTGACTCTGAGGAGCTCGCTCGCTTCGCTCGCTCGTAAAATACCATGTAAATTAGGCATTAGTGTACATTAGGCACACTCCTCGGGCATAAATGATACTTTTGCTTGCCAATTTTCCACATTTTCTCATGCAAAGACCGTTTAAAAGAGACCCGTCTGCCAGTGAGACTGGACCCACCGTGCCTCCCTCCTCCCATCGAAAGGTCCTGGATACATCCTTGCCTGAGCTGACGGCCCCCTCTTGGGCGAAATTCTGGGTACGTGTCCGACATGCATCGTACATAGTCCTGTTGATTTGATTCATCGGTTAAACATTTGAATATAAGTTATAAGCTGGATCTCTAGTTTGTGATCCCGCATCGTATCAGATATACTCGTAATGACATTTCATGTCGATGTGCCTAAAAAAAAGCGAATATACGTGAAAAAGGAGTGCTGCTCCCGCTCCTACACATCCGGGCCAAACAGTGACCGGCCCCTGCTTCTAGCCACCCGGGGCCGGTCGGCCGGCCGGCAGTCAGTCGCTGCCCGGGGCTGATTTCTGAGGGACTTGCAAAAATGTTTATTAATGAAATGTTTTACGTAATAAATTAGATGATTAGGTATATGTGCCGGCTCTGAGTCGCATTTGTAAAAAAACATGCTAGCGTAAAAATATATATGTTTTGAAAATTAAGCTGGTAGGTACCGAAATAATTATTTTACCATGCATTGACAAACCAATTGCTCAAGCTTCAAACCAACCGAAATATAGCCCCGTGGGCCGTATTTTTTTTTGGGGGGGGCCCTTCGGCATGGGGGGCCCAATTTGAAGGTCGTGCCCCCCCCCATTCAAAAATCCTGTGTGCGCGCCTGCTTAGTATCGATACAGAAACTATTTATCTCACTCCCCTCTGTCCAGCTCACGGAGCGTTCCACTCTGTCCAGCATGACGCAGGAGGGCACGCGGACCCCTCGCGGATACGTCTGCCACAGTGGACACAGCGTGATGGTCTGTCAGTTTGGTCCCGCTGCCCGGTGACCGGTGCGGGGGTCTCCGCGGGTCACTGGGCCGTGGCCGGCGGCTGGGTCGGATCCAAACCCAACCGGCGCATCTCCACTGTCACCTGAAACAGGTAGTCGAGACACTCGCAGACGGTCTTGGCCCGCTGCCAGGTGCTCCCCCAGACGTAGACCCCGTGGCGACGCACGAGCACCGCCGGCGAGCCGGGGTAGCGCCTGATGGCCTCCTCCAGGGAGTCCTCCAGCTCCTCCTCTCGCGGCGTGTTCTCGATGATCGGCACCACCAGCTGCTCGTCGTAGCGCAGACAGCGGCCCAGCTCGTCGTTCCACACGCCCTTGATCATCTCCAGGTGCGTGGCGCGGAACTCTGGGCCAGACCACAGCAGGGTGGCCAGCACCGCCGCCTGAGAGTGGGTGTGGATGACCGCGCCGGCGCCGCGCAGACGGTACGCCAGCATGAAGAGTGGCGTGCACGCGCTGCGCTTCAGCTGTCCCTCCGGCACGAACACATCGCGTCCGTCCACGGTCTGCACGAACAGCTGATCGGGCTGTACCCGCTCCTTCTGCACGCCCGAAGGGGCGATGTAGATGTGCTCGCCGCGGCGGATCGAGATGCCGCCGCCGGTGCCGGTAACCCAGCCGAGGAAGTAGAACTGCTGCAGCAGCGCCGGCACCAGCTGCCGAGGGTGCTCCGGAGACGACGTGTCGCCCTCGTCATCAGACATACTGAGGGCGAGGCATGCGGTGCGGCATTACGTCAGACATACTGTGGTGGTATACCCGTATACGGTACAACATCAGGAATACTGCGTTGGTATACCTGTATAATAACAGTATAACGGTACAGTCACACATTCTGCGATGGCATGCCCTATAAGGTATACCCTCAGGCATACCTACTGCGTATAACTACTGCATAAGGTCAGACATTTCGGCGAAATATACGGTATAACGTCAGGCATACTGTCGACACGGTATGACGTCAGTCAGTCGGTAGGCACAGCTGACAGAGCCGTCAAATGTTACGTGCGTGAAGTTAGCGTCGTATTCCGCGACGGATTCAGCGTCGAGTCCGAATTTCAACTAAACCCAACCTATCCGATGCAGTTTGGGACGCTGATTCCGAATATCGTATTCATTTCAAATTTCAAGGTCATCTTCAAGGTCAAATCACGGATTGAAATTGAGTCCCCGATTTTTCCTACACCGATCGTCCGATCCGATTTCTGAAGGTCGCATTCGAAAGCTAGGGTCAGAATCTCGAATTCCCTAATATATATCTTATTAAAAATATTTGACCTTAAAGGTCAAATCACGGATTGAAATTTTGAGTCCCCTATTTTTTCTACACCGATCGTCCGATCCAATTTCTGATGGTCGCATTCGATAGCTAGGGTCAGAATCTCGAGTTCCCTAATATATATCTTATTAAAAATATTTGACCTTAAAGGTCAAATCACGGATTGAAATTTTGAGTCCCCCTATTTTTTCTACACCGATCGTCCAATCCAATTTCTGATGGTCGCATTCGATAGCTAGGGTCAGAATCTCGAGTTCCCTAATACATACCTTATTAAAAATATTTGACCTTAAAGGTCAAATCACGGATTGAAATTTTGAGTCCCCCTATTTTTTTCTACACCGATCGTCCGATCCAATTTCTGATGGTCGCATTCGATAGCTAGGGTAAGAATCTCGAGTTCCCTGATATATACCTTATTGAAAATATTTGACCTTAAAGGTCAAATCACGGATTGAAATTTTGAGTCCCCTATTTTTTCTACACCGATCGTCCGATCCAATTTCTGATGGACGCATTCGATAGCTAGGGTCAGAATCTCGAGTTCCCAAATATATACCTTATTAAAAATATTTGACCTTAAAGGTCAAATCACGGATTGAAATTTTGAGTCCGCCAATTTTTTCTACACCGATCGTCCGATACGATTTCTGATGGTCGCATTCGATAGCTAGGGTCAGAATCTCGAGTTCCCTAATATATACCTTATTAAAAATATTTGACCTTAAAGGTCAAATCACGGATATTCGACCTTAAAGGTCACATCACGGATTGAAATTTTGCGTCCCCCGATTTTTTCTACACCGATCGTCCGATCCGATTTCTGAAGGTCGCATTCGATAGCTAGGGTCAGAATCTCGAATTCCCTAATATATACCTTATTAAAAATATTTGACCTTAAAGGTCAAATCACGGATTGAAATTTTGAGTCCCCAATTTTTTCTACACCGATCGTCCGATCCAATTTCTGATGGTCGCATTCGATAGCTAGGGTCAGAATCTCGAGTTCCCTTATATATACCTTATGAAAAATATTTGACCTTAAAGGTCAAATCACGGATTGAAATTTTGAGTCCCCTATTTTTTCTACACCGATCGTCCGATCCTATTTCTGATGGTCGCCTTCGATAGCTAGGGTCAGAATCTCGAGTTCCCTAATATATACATTATTAAAAATATTTGACCTTAAAGGTCAAATCACGGACTGAAATTTTGAGTCCCCCTTTTTTTCTACACCGATCGTCCGATCCAATTTCTGATGGTCGCATTCGATAGCCAGGGTCAGAATCTCGAGTTCCCTAATACATACCTTATTAAAAATATTTGACCTTAAAGGTTAAAGGACCCAAAATTTCAATCCGTGATTTGACCTTTAAGGTCAAATATTTTTAATAAGGTATATATTAGGGAATTCGAGATTCTGACCCTAGCTATCGAATGCGACCTTCAGAAATTGGATCGGACGATCGGTGTAGAAAAAATAGGGGGACTCAAAATTTCAATCCGTGATTTGACCTTTAAGGTCAAATATTTTTAATAAAGTATATATTAGGGAATTCGAGATTCTGACCCTAGCTATCGAATGCGACCTTCAGAAATCGGATCGGACGATCGGTGTAGAAAAAAAAATCTGGGGACTCAAAATTACAATCCGTGATGTGACCTTTAAGGTCGAATATCCGTGATTTGACCTTTAAGGTCAAATATTTTTAATAAGGTATGTATTAGGAAACTCGAGATTCTGACCCTAGCTATCGAATGCGACCATCAGAAATTGGATCGGACGATCGGTGTAGAAAAAATAGGTGGACTCAAAATTTCAATCCGTGATTTGACCTTTAAGGTCAAATGTTTTTAATAAGGTATATATTAGGGAACTCGAGATTCTGACCCTAGCTATTGAATGCGACCATCAGAAATTGGATCGGACGATCGGTGTAGAAAAAATAGGGGGACTCAAAATTTCAATCCGTGATTTGACCTTTAAGGTCAAATATTTTTAATAAGGTATGTATTAGGGAACTCGAGATTCTGACCCTAGCTATCGACTGCGACCATCAGAAGTTGGATCGGACGATCGGTGTAGAAAAAATAGGGGGACTCAAAAATTCAATCCGTGATTATTTTAATAAGGTATATATAAGGGAACTCGAGATTCTGACCCTAGCTATCGAATGCGACCATCAGAGATTGGATCGGACGATCGGTGTAGAAAAAATAGGGGGACTCAAAATTTCAATCCGTGATTTGACCTTTAAGGTCAAATATTTTTAATAAGGTATATATTAGGGAATTCGAGATTCTGACCCTAGCTATCGAATGCGACCTTCAGAAATCGGATCGGACGATCGGTGTAGAAAAAATTGGGGGACTCAAAATTTCAATCCGTGATGTGACCGTTAAGGTCGAATATCCGTGATTTGACCTTTAAGGTCAAATATTTTTAATAAGGTATATATTAGGGAACTCGAGATTCTGGCCCTAGCTATCGAATGCGACCATCAGAAATCGGATCGGACGATCGGTGTAGAAAAAATTGGAGGACTCAAAATTTCAATCCGTGATTTGACCTTCAAGGTCAAATATTTTTAATAAGGTATATATTAGGGAACTCGAGATTCTGACCCTAGCTATCGAATGCGACCATCAGAAATTGGATCGGACGATCGGTGTAGGAAAAATAGGGGGACTCAAAATTTCAATCCGTGATTTGACCTTTAAGGTCAAATATTTTTAATAAGGTATATTGTAGGGAACTCGAGATTCTGACCCTAGCTATCGAATGCGACCATCAGAAATTGGATCGGACGATCGGTGTAGAAAAAATAGGGGGACTCAAAATTTCAATCCGTGATTTGACCTTTAAGGTCAAATATTTTTAATAAGGTATGTATTAGGGAACTCGAGATTCTGACCCTAGCTATCGAATGCGACCATCAGAAGTTGGATCGGACGATCGGTGTAGAAAAAATAGGGGGACTAAAAATTTCAATCCGTGATTTGACCTTTAAGGTCAAATATTTTAATAAGGTATATATAAGGGAACTCGAGATTCTGACCCTAGCTACTGAATGCGACCATCAGAGATTGGATCGGACGATCGGTGTAGAAAAAATAGGGGGACTCAAAATTTCAATCCGTGATTTGACCTTTAAGGTCAAATATTTTTAATAAGGTATGTATTAGGGAACTCAAGATTCTGACCCTAGCTATCGACTGCGACCATCAGAAATTGGATCGGACGATCGGTGTAGAAAAAATAGGGGGACTCAAAATTTCAATCCGTGATTTGACCTTTAAGGTCAAATATTTTTAATAAGGTATATATTAGAGAACTCGAGATTCTGACCCTAGCTATCGAATGCGACCATCAGAAATTGGATCGGACGATCGGTGTAGAAAAAATAAAGGGACTCAAAATTTCAATCCGTGATTTGACCTTTAAGGTCAAATATATTTAATAAGGTATATATTAGGGAATTCGAGATTCTGACCCTAGCTATCGAATGCGACCTTCAGAAATCGGATAGGACGATCGGTGTAGAAAAAATCGGGGGACTCATAATTTCAATCCGTGATGTGACCTTTAAGGTCGAATATCCGTGATTTGACCTTTAAGGTCAAATATTTTTAATAAGGTATATATTAGGGAACTCGAGATTCTGACCCTAGCTATCGAATGCGACCATTAGAAATCGGATCGGAAGATCGGTGTAGAAAAAATTGGGGGGACTCAAAATTTGAATCCGTGATTTGACCTTTAAGGTCAAATATTTTTAATAAGGTATATATTAGGGAACTCGAGATTCTGACCCTAGCTATCGAATGCGACCATTAGAAATCGGTTCGGACGATCGGTGTAGAAAAAATTGGGGACTCAAAATTTGAATCCGTGATTTGACCTTTAACCCGCGCGGGGCTGGGGTCTCCAGCCGAACGCGCGGGGCTGGGGGGGGGGGGGGTAAATTTTACCCCCCCCCCCTGTTATCTCCGGAACTAATGGTCCGATTTGGAAAATTCAAACGCCAATCGAAAGCTCTCATCACGAACTACTAAAAACATGTACTTAATTTAAAGTTTGAGGTCAAGGTCAAGGTCAGGTCAAGGGTACAAATTGCAAGTACTTTTCTACAGTATCGGCCTTGCACCGTAGTTGCCGAAGAATGGAGTTATGGACTGAGACTGATCGCCCAAAACGTGTTCTTAGGCTACCAAGACAATATTCGTTGCATACAATATCATTCAGAGGTCAAGGTCAAGGTCAGGTCAGGTCACCAAAAAACAAAATATAGAAAAGGGCATGTGCGACACATGTTTTATGGGTCATTTTACTCATAGAATTCAATAGGCAAACTCAATAAGTGATATGGACCACCTCTGGATGAATTTCAGGTCGAGGTCAGGTCAAGGTCAGGTCAAGTAGGGTCAAATTTTGAAGTTGGTTGTTAAGGCCTAAAAAGGTGTCTATCTGATGCAGTTTTTCACGGCGAATCGAATGGTGCTATTTTTGTTTCCGTACGAGGTCTAGAACTTCCAAAAAAGTCATTTTTCAAAAAATTTGTGTGTCGTGACGTCATAAAATTTTGAATAACTCCCACATTTTTGAACCGATTCTTCTAAAATTTGGTATGTAGGTGCACATAGACCACTTCTCTGACATATATTCCGGTTTTTTCGATAGACTCAAAATTTTGGATTTTATAATGATTTTCCCAAAAAAATCAGTTTTTTGAAAAAATTTACGCCAAAATCCAAAATTTTCAAAAAACCGAGATAGCCATTTGATAGACAAAGTAAAATTACGTATAACCTTTTTTGTTACGTCTTGATTCCTTTAAAAATGAAGATGTTAGCGGCGTTTGAACTTTTGCCGTTTTTGAGGCGAAAATGGCGAACATGACGTCACTAAAACGTCAATTTCTCAAAAAAAATTCCGACGGATTTCGCTCAAATTTTCAGGGAACGTGTCAAATTGACGTAAGAAAAGGAACTGAAAGGCAGCGCCGCCGTTTTTGAGATATCGCAAAAATTCGCGAGGGGGGGTAAAATTTACCCCCCCCCCAGCCCCGCGCGGGTTAAGGTCAAATATTTTTAATACGGTATATATTAGGGAACTCGAGATTCTGACCCTAGCTATCGAATGCGACCATCAGAAATAGGATCGGACGATCGGTGTAGAAAAAATAGGGGGACTCAAAATTTCAATCCATGATTTGACCTTTAAGGTCAAATATTTTTAATAAGGTATATGTTAGGGAACTCGAGATTCTGACCCTAGCTATCGAATGCGACCATCAGAAATTGGATCGGACGATCGGTGTAGAAAAAATAGGGGACTCAAAATTTCAATCCGTGATTTGACCTTTAAGGTCAAATATTTTTAATAAGGTATATATTAGGGAATTCGAGATTCTGACCCTAGCTATCGAATGCGACCTTCAGAAATCGGATCGGACGATCGGTGTAGAAAAAATCGGGGGACTCAAAATTTCAATCCGTGATGTGACCTTTAAGGTCGAATATCCGTGATTTGACCTTTCAGGTCAAATATTTTTAATAAGGTATATATTAGGGAACTCGAGATTCTGACTCTAGCTATTGAATGCGACCATCAGAAATTGGATCGGACGATCGGTGTAGAAAAAATAGGGGGACTCAAAATTTTAATCCGTGATTTGACCTTTAAGGTCAAATATTTTTAATAAGGTATGTATAAGGGAACTCCAGATTCTGACCCTAGCTATCGACTGCGACCATCAGAAATTGGATCGGACGATCGGTGTAGAAAAAATAGGGGGACTCAAAATTTCAATCCGTGATTTGACCTTTAAGGTCAAATATTTTTAATAAGGTATATATAAGGGAACTCGAGATTCTGACCCTAGCTATCGAATGCGACCATCAGAAATTGGATCAGACGATCGGTGTAGAAAAAATAGGGGGACTCAAAATTTCAATCTGTGATTTGACCTTTAAGGTCAAATATTTTTAATAAGGTAAGCATGAGCGAACTCGAGATTCTGACCCTAGCTATCGAATGCGACCATCAGAAATTGGATTGGACGATCGGTGTAGAAAAAATAGGGGGACTCAAAATTTCAATCCGTGATTTGACCTTTAAGGTCAAATATTTTTAATAAGGTATATACTAGGGAACTCGAGATTCTGACCCTAGCTATCGAATGCGACCATCAGAAATTGGATCGGACGATCGGTGTAGAAAAAATAGGGGGACTCAAAATTTCAATCCGTGAGTTGACCTTTAAGGTCAAATATTTTTAATAAGGTATATATTAGGGAATTCGAGATTCTGACCCTAGCTTTCGAATGCGACCTTCAGAAATCGGATCGGACGATCGGTGTAGGAAAAATCGGGGACTCAATTTCAATCCGTGATTTGACCTTGAAGATGACCTTGAAATTTGAAATGAATACGATATTCGGAATCAGCGTCCCAAACTGCATCGGATAGGTTGGGTTTAGTTGAAATTCGGACTCGACGCTGAATCCGTCGCGGAATACGACGCTAACTTCACGGACGTTCAAATGTTGATAAATTGGCATATTGCTGAGAATGAGATAGATGATGCAACGACAGGACATGACAAGTATTGTGACGCACATGTGATGACGTCAGGCATACATACAGTGATACCTACTGCCGACAGGATATAGGTACGGTATGACGTCAGATATATTGACGACACGATATGACGTCAGTCAGACACAACACGAACCGACAGATTCGCAGAACACACAAAACGTCAAAAGCACCTTGTTGGTACGGCAACCGAAACTGAAACTCTGAATTGGAGACTGGAGTGCCAAGGTCGGGCCTTTGGCATGCAAATGTCGAAACATAACTGTCCCGAATGAAAACAAACGCCTGAATGTCGACACCAACTGGCAAGCCTGTAAAAGATAACATTGCGCCGGTTCAAACTGGCAAAAGCGTGTTAGAGAAACACTAGTGCCGACGAGAACGTTTGCTTTCAGGGCGAGTTTGCTAACCTCAATGCCCTTCTCACTTGCGTGATTGTCGGCTCTATGAATCAGAATCAGCCGGGTTTCTCACCTGCAAGGTGCTGTGTCCGCTGTGTCCGACCTTGACCTGTGTCACTGGGTCGGCCCGGCCCGGCTCGTGCTCGACAGGCGCAAGGCCCTATACAGGCGGGTGTCTCCGGCTCAGCGCTGCGCACAGCAGAGGTCCGGGTGGAGAACCTCTAACCGTACACTGCACAGTGTGGCCGAACACCAGTTTAGCGCGAATTTAATCCCAGCGCCGCTCGGATCCACTGAAAATGGTTCTCTGGTTCCAAAACTGACACTTACCCCTCGCCGGACTTATTGGTTTTCAAAATACGCGCCGGCCGAAGGGGGGGGGGGGTTGGTACGACCCCCGTCGCTGTTTCGCCCCTGATGGAGCTAGAGCCCCGCGGAAAAAAACGAGCGTGTGCGCCGTTACGAGACGCAGCGACTGGTATCCGATTTTAAGGTCTCAGGCCAACCTGTGACCTCTGAGGTCAGGTCAAGTGACCCAGGCGCGGATTCATTTTTTATTAATAACTTCGCGAAAAAATGCGGCAGAGCCGTAATTTTGGTATCATCATGTTCGCCTCACTCAGGCGCGTCGAATGGTATACTTTTTGTTCGGCTGACGTTAACTTAAGGTGTTGACCGTGGGTCAAGGTCAGGTCAGAGTCCTCCAGATCACGAAGTTGGTTGAAGGAGGTCATGTTGCATATCATTGGATTCGGAAATTCTTCCTGAGTCCATTGGTGGCTTTCTCGACTCGCTAGCTCAATTTAATCGGGAGTTATTGACGAAAAACTCTTATTACCCTAGTGACGTCATAAATGACGTCACGTAAGACCAACAATGCATAAGTGAAGCATCGGACCTTGCAAGGAGTGCATGAAATCACGATTTCGTGTGCTTGAGATAGTTTATTAGGCTGGAGCCTGTCCGGCCGCGCCGCCCCCTACCTTGGTCAGGTCACATAGGGCGGCCGACTAGACATGTTCAAAGCTGAGTTGACGGCAAATAGGCAAAAACTGGCAGCTGAAACTTGCTCGCTTATGTTCAGAAAGGTGCGGAGAGTTCAGCCATGCCCTATTCGTCATATCCATTTTTATCCATTTTGACATTTTTCAACTTCTTTATTAAATACTATCGTGAGAACGATACACATGCAGGGCTCTTGTTCTAACTCATTAAACTCAAAAACCATTCATTGAAAAGCTACCATGATAGCAGAAACAGCTTCATCATGAACTGCGCTATCCGGTGATATGCTATTTTCTCATATATCTTCTCGAAACTTCCGTAAAATTTACGTAGAAAACTGGACATATTTATCAGTACCATAGCCCGATTTTAGGAACCGGAGCGTGGGTCTACTTTCGGCAGGGATATAAGTCCTCAAATGGTAAAGTGGCTTAAAAATAAGGTTCTATCCGATAACTTCAGACAATTTCCTACCCACTGATAGGTATAAATAACAGTTTATCGAAAGTCGGGTTTTTGATTAAATTCGCGCTAATCTGGTATTCGGCAAGACCGTGCACTGGTCGAAGTCCGCCCATCGCCTGGCTCCCAGATGGCCGGCTCCGTACACCCCGACACCGACCACGCGGCCCCCGAGGCGCAGGCGCACTACTCCCCTCCCCCTCCCCCTCCATCCCCACGCCGTGGACAGCTGGGGCGCCGACGATTCCGTCCCTCCCCTCCCCCTCCCCTCTACTGACGGTACCGGCGCGACGCTACGGGGTCACTCTGGCCGACGTAAGTAACCCATCTCGTTATTGACTAACTCGCACCCTATATCCTGATCGGTTTGGGGCTGCTCGAGGACTGTTGTTTGTTGCGGATACCTACCGGTGAATGTGATTTCTAATTCTGAGTCTAGCCTTCACTGGTCATTTCATGGTGGGCTAAGAGAATAGACATTAGACAACTAACTCGATTGAATCAACATGGTGGAAACACAACTGGAAAACAACAGTGGAAAATCAGGTACCTGGCGCCTAAATACCATCATAACAGCTATCGCAGATGACAGAGGACCACCCTCCCCCGCAAAAAGTTCCGACTTCTTCACAAAGATGGCATCGTCACATACGTCCTCACCATCATCAGGTCCGACGCATCCGTATCCTTGATCACGCTTGACGCTATACCTACCCTATCTGCAGACTGAAGGTCATGCCCAGTCACACCACCAAACTGAAGAAGAGCAGATTCGACCAAAGCAGATTCGAGAGGAGCATGCCCTGGGGATCCGTTTGAGTCAATGTATTCCTGCCCGGGGCCGGGATGATTCAATAAATGTCACTGAGGTTTTTTAGCGAAAACTCCGAGGGCCGTTGGGCCCGAGGTGATTTTGCTAAAAAAAGCGAGGTGACGTTTATTGAATTCCCGGCCTTAGGGCTGGAAGGTATTTCCCATACCTGCCAAAAAGCTCACAACTATATGATAGTGACGTCAGCTGCAGCCGTGTGGTTCAACGCAAGGCCCTATATAGAAGGTATGCTCATTAGGCCGAAGCAGCGATTTCCGTGACGTCACTGGTACGAAGGGTCGGACGGCTGTAATGCAATCCTATGGAAAATGACCCAACTTTAGGGCTCTCCCACATAGCTGCCAACCTCGACACTAAGGTAAAAGTTATATCACATAAAAGCTCAAATCAAGACGAACAAGAAACCTATCTGACGTTTTACGTATTACTAACGGCTTAGACTCTATTCAAGTATATTCAGAGCTCTGCATTACATCACTTTTTCTGCCGTCAATGCAGTCACCGTGGTCAATGCCACTACAAACGTCTAGTCGGCGCACGTGCGCTTGTCGAGCGGGGACCACCAGTCGGGCGATTCAGAGCTGCCGCCCAATCAGAACGCCGCAATGCCGTGACGTCATTGGTCGCACACGACACGTTACGGAGATAGGGATGAGACAGCCCTGGGTTCAACGTGTTTAACCACACCCCTTGAACGCCTTGAACCACACGGCTTGTAGTATTAAAGCATTGCATTAAACTTTGAAAAGTTTGGTACAGTGCACGTGCCGTTTAAATGCCTGGATGTCTCGATTTAATCATGCAATGTAGCAGGTAGGTATGGGAAAATATATTCCTGCCCGGGGCCGGGATGATTCAATAAATGTCACCGAGGTTTTTTAGCGAAAACTCCGAGGGCCGTTAGGCCCGAGGTGCTTTTCGCTAAAGAGGCGAGGTGACATTTATTTAATTCCCGGCCTTAGGGCTGGAAGGTGTTTCCCATACCTGCCAAAAAGCTCACAACTATAATTGATAGTGACGTCAGCAGCCGTGTGGTTCAACGCGTTTAACCACACCCCTTGAACCACACGGCTGGCAATATTAAAGCACTGCATTAAACTTTGAAAAGTGTGGTACAGTGCGCGTGCCATTAAAATGCCTGGATGTCTCGATTTAATCATGCAATGTAGCAGGTATGGGAGGGAAAGGCCATGGGTGGCCAGCTACACTGGAACACTCGGCATGAGTCGCATATCAATATTCACACGTTCAGCACCCGGGCGCACTATTCGCTGAATTAGCCGCCCACTTTTCCCTCTTTCGTCGTATCCCATGGACCTAAAATGTTTAGAATGAAATGGAAGAAACATATAAACGCTTAAACAGTTTTCTTACGTGACACCGTGTATGCCACAATTACGATAATAAAGAATGTAGCTGCGCAGTGTGCACCTCCGTCACCGGAAGAGTTGTTTAATGGCCAAGAACGAATAGGCACAATGCACAGTGCACAATGTAAGTACCTACAATGCACAGTGTGCACGCATATCCGGCTGCGCTTGACTGCCAAACTAGCCCTCTGAAGCATGAGGGAACACTAAACAGCGTTCATCGAAGCCAAACGACACGCAAGGGCAGTGGCATTCAGCACGCACGAAAGGAATAAACGGGTTTCACGCAAAACAATTAAATAACTTGCGCCCTCGAAACAAGAATTTTGACGGAATTTTCTGGACAGTCTTGTATATTTTATAGTGTACACACTACACAGTTCAGGGCAAATGTATATTCTCAAAAGTGACTGTTAGCTATGACGCATATCCCGCGCCCCACTGGGGGGGCTATTTATAGCCCCCCTCCCGTTTTTCTGCAATAACTTCCAAACCACTTGACGGATCGACGCCAAACTTTCAGTACCTTAGGCTACATCAATTTGACACCTTGTGTCAAAATTTGAACTTCGTAACTACTATAGGTCGGCCGGAAATGACGTCAGAGTGACGTCATGTTTGGCCGATTTCGACGCAAAACATTGAACCACGGCAATCGCTCCCAAGAGCTCAGTTTTTAAGCTAGATCCAATTTCTTTGCATGAGAGGACTCAAAATATATTGCGCTATTAAACTGCTATCTCGGATTTTCGAAATTTTGAAAATTTTGAAAAATTTAATATAATAAAATCCAAAATTTATATTTTTACATTTTTTCAAAAAGTTTTTGACTTTTCGAAAAAACCGAAATATATGTGATAGAACGCATCATTTTGACTAACTCTAGCAAGTTTTAGCCAAATATCCTCTAAAATGGCCAATTTTTAAGCATTATTGCAAAAAATCACAATTATAAATTTTTTCAAATCAATTTTTCAGCACGTATTTGACATCGTACGCCAATATAAATAGCACCATCGTGTTCCTGAGCTCAAACTGCATCCAATAGACACCTTTTTTGTTGAAAAATTTTAATTTCAAAATTTGACCTTTTTTACCTGGAGTGACCTGACCTAAGCTAAATTCGACTTAAAATGACCTTGAATGACACAGACGACATCAAATTCGAAATATCTGACCTAAATGGACCATAAAACATGTGTCACGTGACCGACGCATGATATTATATTTTCGTGACCTGTGATGACCTGACCCAGCGGTGTAACTTTCTATATGTATGGGGGTGCAGGTGCACCCCCATCCCTTGAAAGTGCACCCCCATCACGTCAAAGTGCACCCCCATAGGCTAAGCGGCGCACCACACGCCGCCCGAACCGATAAGCTCTTGAGCAGATGGCGAGGGTGATTTCCCGGCTACATTCCGTCTCGTGACCGGCGTCGTGATGCTTGCGGGCTTGGGAAGCGTCCAGTCGTATCGTCCCCCAAAAATGGGTGAAAGGGGCACCCCGGCAAAAGCGGGACTTTCTCAGCAAAAGTGGAGCGCCCGAGGCAGAAGTAGGGCACCTCCAACGTAGGTTGGGATCGTCAAGCATAAGACTGGCGCCCCAGTTGAGGACAGGCGCCC